GTCTCTGGGAAGCCTCCTGACCCATTTTGCATCCTGACCTCTGACCACTGATCATTGCACAGGCTTGACCCAAGGTGTCAGCCAAGGAAGACAGCTACATTTTAGGCTGAAAAGCCTGGAAGGGCTTAGAACACTGAATCTTTCTGGGTAAAACAGTAATTCTCAGCATTTTTATTCAGGGCAGAGGAAACCCTTCTGGCTCAACATGCCCCACTAGCACTGGAGACCAGTTAGGGCAAAACTCCCAGAGCCAGGACCACATGGAGGAAGTGGACGCAAGGCCACGAGGTCTGGGGATCAGGGCCTGGGGCACCGACCTGATGCTGGTCTCCGGGGGGAAGCTCAGGACCTGCAGGTAAGTGGATGGCCGGAAGCAACAGTAAACATTATGGGATCTGCAAGCGGAGGAGGAAGAGCGATGAGGGAAAGAAGCCAAGCGAGACCAGAACAGACACCGGGTCACAGGCTCAGACCCCTGAGGGACGCGCTCTGGCCCCGGCCCCGCCAAAGCAGAGGGAGGAAGGAGGCAAGGACCGGCCCGGAGCGTCCCTCGAGGGGAGAGGGCACGCACGGCACGCGGACAGCACGGCAAAGGGATGGCGGGAGAACCGCGTCAGCGGGGAGGGGAAGCAGAGCCAGCCCCACAGATCCGCACCTGGAGATCTTTTTCTCCAGCTGGCCAAAGTAGACTCGGGCTCCTGGAAGGAGTCCCAGCGGGGGAGGCAAGTGTGGGTCTTTGATGTAGATGTCCAGGTGAGGGGGGAACTGACAGTCGGCAACCCGCACAGCTACGGTCAGCTTCACGCACCCCCTCGAGGTCCGAGCGGTGCCTACGGAAGGAGAGGGGAGGGTCGGGGGCATCTGCGAGGACCACAAAGTCCCCGCTAACCTATTTCTCACCCCCCAAAGGAGGCATCATTACCAGGCTTTGTCCAGAAAGGGGCCGGAAACGGTTCACACAGTGTGCGTGACAAAACCTCAGCTGAGAAGGACACCAGGGAATTGGTGTGGCTGTTGGGTCACAGAAATACAGGAACGACAGAGTAAGAAAGCAGAGAACGGGAAGAGATTTGAGAACAAGCCACTGCTTACACTAAAAAGGCTCTTCCTTGTCAATTTCTTCATTTTTTTTAACATTTCCTTTTACTGCTACAGCTTTTCCTTAGTTGTGAGAAAGTCTGCTCACAATCTTCTCAGAACAAGAACTTGCCAGGGGGGAAGCTAGGCCTGAATCACCACTTCCACCTCCCGAGGACGCCATGCCTCTAGGAGCTAAAGCACGCCCAAGAGACGCACGCTACGGCGGAGAGCGCTGTCCACCCAACCCAGCCGCGGGGGGAGGAGAGCGAGCGGCCAGAGTGGCCGGCGAAGCCGGCGGACATTTACTCGCCACTGAGCAGGTCGGCCAGCGAGGTCTCAGGCAGGGCCTTGTTGGCGTCAGGCGCGGCGGGGAGGTCCCGGCTGCTCTCAAGTTCCACGGTCCACTCGTCCCGCACAGTGAGGAAGGACGTGCAGCCGGCCAGCTCCAGAGGACGCTGCGGGACGCAGGACGGCCCGCCCTCCGCGAACAACAGTGGCGTCTGCCGGGGACAGGAAGACAACTCGGTGAGTGTGTCCTGCTCCAGAGGGAGGCTCACAAAATACCGGGGCGCTTTTGCTTTCCTTCTGGAGCCTGGTGAGAGAAGCCGTCCAGATTCAGACAGGCTTTCCGCCTTTCCTCCGGGAGACCTCGACACTAGCCGGGCACTGCCGCTTGCTCTCCAGACCCCAAGCCGAAAAAGCCGTCCGGGGAAGGGTGAATGAAGGACAAGGCGGGGCACTCACGGGAGGGCCAGGAGCCACCAGTCGGTACACTCGACCCGGGTGCAAGAACTCGAACCAGCGGATGGAGGAGCCACGGAAGACTAAGAGAACCTGGGGGGGAGGGAGGGAGGGAGGGAGGTGCTGGGGCCTCCGGCAGGAGCTAGGGGCACGGGATGCCAGGCCCCAGATCCCCACAGTCCAGGTTACCTTCTGATCCTTGCTCTCATCTCCCTCAGGCTCAGGTGGGCCCCATGCAGTCCCCTCCTTCCTCTGGGTGCCCCCAAGCCAGCGCCCTGATACGTAGAAGCTGAGAATGGGCTTGGGCACCTCTGGACTAGCTCCTGGGGGGACACTGAAGTTCCTCTTCATCAGTGCCTCCTTGTGGGACAGCAAGAACAGTCGGCTCTGTTCTGTGGGAGGGCCCTCTGGCAGGGCGGGCTCTGTCTGAGAAGGTGCGAGGGAGGCGGCTGAGAGAAGCAAGGGTCTCGGCACAGGCAGGATCAGGGCGTCAGCCAGGAAGAACTGGATATAGACCCTGCTGGGAGAGACAAGGAGGACAGGTTTCTCAGCGGTGCAGGCGCTGGGTGTCGTGGGCCCCAGACGCCCGCCACCCGCACCAGGCCCTTCCCTTCCCTTCCCCTTGGAGGCTCAGGGGATCGCCGCCGCCCGGAAGGGCCGACCTGGCCTGCTGCTTCTGGATGAAGCCCGCCATGCTCAGCTCCTTACAAGAAGGGAAGGTGCTCCTGACGTTCCTCTCTATGATCAACTGGAACTTCTCTGTCCGCACCAAGCAGCCTAGAGAGAAAGTTTTCTCTTTTGGCGAGGGGAGAGAGTGATGGGCTGGGAAGTGGAGGAGACTACCCGGCAGGCCTCACCGCCCAGTCCAGGCCCGAGTTGCTCCCCGAACACAACGTGAGGGCCCAGGCCTGCCCCCCTCCTGAGATGCCATCTCCAAGGGAGAAACTGTCCTGGCCACGTGTCCAGGCCTGCCCCCGGCCTCCTTGGCCTCAATTCCACTTTCTCACAAATCCCTACAGGGCCTGTCCCTTGGTCTAAGAAACTTCCCTTTACAGGAACTTTCCCGGTCTACAAATCTCAGCAAATCCAAAGAAGACCATCTCTCCCCCAAACTAAGAAGCGTCATCTGCCGTGTACATCAGGAGCTACGGTAGGAGAGATGAACACTGGGAATTGGGAGTCCTCGCTAGAAAAACCCTGACTCAGGTCCTCTGCCAGTACTGGTGTCCCGGACTCGTCCCCGAACTTGTGGTTCAACATATGCCACTTCGCATCTCGAGAAAATCCCAGGAGATGCCCCCTCCCCAACCCTGCTGTTCTGAGACCCTCCTCGTCCACCATCTTCTCGCCACTTCTGAACTCCAAACCTATGAGCCGGGAGTCGCTGATGGGCTGAGAGTGCTTGGCCAGGATTAGGCAGGGGAGGGAACCGCTTCTGTCCCGAAGCTGCAGGCAGCCTTTGTGAGATGAAGCCGCCAGAAGCCCAATTAAAATCTGCAGGGGACGAAAGACAAGGTGTCAAGTATTTAGCAAACATTCAGCATCTACTATGCTCCAGACGCCGCCAAACGTTAGCTACAAAGTGAACAGGAAAGACGCAGTTTCTGACCTCAAAGAACTCACATCGGGTGGGGAAGACAGATATAAAAAAACACACACGCACGTTCACACGTTCAGGAGCGGGGCAGAAAGCGTACGAATCAAG